GTACTGTTATCATTTGCAGAGACATCCAAACGAGCAGTATCCTCCTCGATGATAAATTTGAAGTGAGGCTTGGAAGTTTGAGTGAGGTATGTCCTCAGGAAGAAGCACACCATAGTGTTATCGCCAAGCTATTGCGGATGTCACAGTAAGTTCAAAATTCACAATAGTCTTTATTACTTGTTAGTTAATCTCAAAATAATATTTCCTTAAAATAGAGTAATTCTAGAGTTCCATCATGTCAATTTCATGTTTGTTATTCTTTTTCTTATCTTGTTCTGTCTATCATGGATCTTAGTAACCTTTGCGTATCATCCGATTTATATTCTGTAAATTGCTATCAAATTTGAATCCGTATCCACTGTCATATTCGGATCGTGGATTGGTTATATCTCATGAAACGCACCATTCTCGACAGATCCAGTGTTGCGACATGTCTTCGGTTCAACAAAGAAGAAGATGTTAACCGTAAAGATAAACGGTAAAACACAACACGCTGACTCATTAGGAAAGTCTATATTAGATAATGAGACCTCCGATGTTGTTATTTCGGAACTATTGAACTGTTTGTTTCTTAGTAAACTGATGTTGCTCAAAAGATTCGAGGCAGCATATAGAGAAAGAAAAAGAAAGTAATCAAGTGGCTAGATCACATGATTTATTGTCATATGATCAGGATAACACTTGTTTCCCAGACTCATACATCCTTAATAGATTGCTTGTTTTATCCTCTCTGACAACATTGAAAATTCCATTGATCGTAATATAGCTTCAACCTTGTCATGTTCTAATATCCGCTTCTCTTCTTGACATGCAGGAGCTCGGAACAAAGTGTTTCCGGTATGAAAGAAAGAAGAAGACCCCCGTTATGTTTTATTGAATGGTTTCGTTCAACTCTCGGCTAATCACTTCTTTTCCTTGTGCTTGATGAATTTGCAGAACCTCCTGCAACATGTGCGTATGATGTGCATTGTCTTGGCAAGGTGTTGCTCGAGCTAGTTACCGGTAAGCTTGGAATCAGTGGGTCAAATGACGCTGCATCGAAGTGTATGAGAAGGAACTCGTGACAAAGATTGTCGACCCGTTCCTCGTAGTGGATGAGGACCACTTGGAGGAGGTCTGGGCCATGGCAATCATAGCCAAGTCTTGCTTGAATCCAAAGCCTAACAGGCGGCCACCTGCGAGCTATGTCCTGAAGGCACTGGAAAACCCTGTGAAGGTGGTGAGGGAAGACGACAACTCTGGTTCAGCCAGGCTGAGGGCTACTTCATCACGGGGCTCTTGGAATGCTGCCTTCACGGGAAGCTGGCGACGCAGCTCCTCGGGCATCATGTCTGTGCCAGGGCAACTAAGGGAGGACCAGAAGCTGAAAAGATCTGGTACAGTCGGGTCTCAGGGAAGTGGAGGAGAACGATCATTCTCTCGGAAGAGACCGTCGAAGGAGATCTTCCCAGAGCCATCTGGTTTCCATGACATGGAGGATCGAGAAGAAGGTTCGACATATGGTGGGCGGCTCGCCATTTGAGTTCCTGCCTATCGGCATCTGACCTCGATGGTGAGTTCGACGAGTGATGATCCGTGATCGGGTCGATTTCTTTCTCTTCCTCTCCTGTTCATGCATTTGTACACAAGTATTCCAATGGAAGAGCTCGACATCGAGGCAGCAGGCTCGCGGAGGTCACTATCATATCTTACTGCTTTCAGTCGGTGCTGAAGATGCTGAATCGATTTGGCAGCTTAAAACAAGGAGGTGTAATTTAGCCTTCATCGGTGGCTTTTCAGGGTATTTATTGTATGTTGGATTGCTTGGTTTCGCATCGCCAGCTTTCTGTTTCCACCTGTTCGATCACTCTTTTAACACTCGACAACAAGTGATCTTATCGGAGAGCCAGCCATTTGGATGGTGGCCGGGCGGCGGAGTTTGGACACTGGGTTTAGGTTGCTCTTTGTGATTTTGGACACTCGAAAAAATATATTATTATTATTTACCATGAACAAGAGGATTAACAAAGAATGACCAAAGGCTGCAGTTTAAAGTCGGCTTAACTTGCTGATAAAAGCAGAACGAAAAATGAATGATATAACCCACGAAGACCAACTCCGAATAAGCTTCCATGGAAAACTCGATTCGCAATCAGTAGCTTACATGAAACTAATATGGTAAAGAAGAGAATCTTAGTCCAATGTTACCCATAAAACGCACACTTCCACCAACAAACAATATCAGCCCGCAAATCACTTTCTTTGATGAACTTCAATGGAAATTGTCGTAGAAACAAAATCACGATGTGATGCTACAGTTATTAATGAGTGGCAGGTATTGCTATTAAACTCCATTGTATTGGTGGTGACACGCTAGTCCTGGAACGATATCTTGAACTTGCAAGACGCTAGCGGCCAAACCGTCCGGATACAGACTTTGGCACAAAGCTGACTGAACTTGAAGACTTCTCTAGCCTGCAAGAGGGAAATAGATTTTACAGTTTACAAGTAGAGATACAAAAATCAACAGGATTATGTGTGCATGTACTTTCATGTCTACACAGGACATGCATGCATTTTTTGCACATTATTTGGAATAGTTCAAAAGAGATGGCACCTTGAGATTTCCTCAACGGCCTTCAGAACTCGCTCAGAACTAGTTTCCAGCACCTGGCCTCCAAATATAATTTCGTCTAGGATGGTGTGCATCTGCACATAAGAAATCCAAGTTATACATGAAAACGGTGGTATTGATCTGATTGTTGTAAATCTGTTCTAAATTGAACAAAAGGATGATACGCTGCTAAATCAGTTTTGCAGTAGATATAGACCTGAAGGATAAATAAGATGATACACTGCTAAATCAGTTTCACAGTAGGTATAGACCTTAAGGATAAATAAGATGATACCCTGCTAAATCAGTTTCACAGTCGATATGGACATCAAGAATAGAGGGCAGATTCACTTGTAGCTAACAGAGGTAATGATAGACAGGTAAGAGTATTGTTCCAAAGAGTTCATGAGCGTGTGAAATCATACCGGATTGCCATTCTACTTTACATTAATGAACAAATTATAATAGAATATGCCAATCGTTTAAACTTTCTATTTATGATCTAGTCATGCCAAGTCTAACATGAATATCTTGCAAGTGTTCTGGTCACTCCATAAGCACCTTCTAGTAAACATGATAGAATTTCTTGATTATTTGCAACATCCTCTCCATCAATCTAGAAGTTCAAGTACTTCAAATCTTTTGTTCCATATGCCTATATAATTAGCAAAACAAAATTATATTATCCTAAACTCACTTTTCATAGCTTTTCCGTCTTCTTCTTTTATTTAAGATGAAAGAGCAGTGCAGTACGTTTCAGTTGCAGGCTGATAGAATATGCTCAACTCATCCAGATATTTGGCATTTTTTTTTTTGTCAGGCTAGCTTGTCGAAGTAATCCAAAAAATTGCTAGCAAAAAAAAGAGACATACTGAGAAAGCTTCACAACAACTACGATTACCTTGTTGAAGTTAAACACTATGTCAAGCTCACAGACATTTTTGAAGCATCTGTCCAGTGTCTCAACAAGGACTGCAGACGACAGCATCTAAATTAGAAACAAAACCTTCGGACATATTTGTGAATCATAGGGAAAGATTGGAAGATATGAGCTCAGCCAATACTAATAGTGCTACTCATGACACATAAAGAAAATCCATACCAGTGGAGAAGGAACAATTTTTATAAAGAAAAACAATCTCATGTAAAAGGTTGAAAACTTGTTTTGCACCTTGTATGAGGTCAAGCATAGCTAGTTCGTTCTCACAACTGTCAAACACAAAGACAAAATACAGCGTAGCGAGGTGCTTGTATACCAGCCGGGTACCCTGCAAGAAGGATGAAGCATGATAATGCATATCACCAGATTTATAGAAAGGATTTCCTCAGCAAACATAGGAAATTCCTCACGAGCAAACATTAAAGAGACTGCCTATCTACTCAATTTATAAGAAACCGTATATTTTGTTCACGATTCATATTTAATGCGCAGAGCCCTAATTTTTGCAGGCTCCTCGCTCTATTAATCAACAACATGTTCTTCTCAGCAAAACCCAGTTTGAGAGGAATTCTCGTTAGCAAGTAGAGCAATTATTGTAACACAAACGGATAAAAGGCGAACAAGCTAAAACATTCATATGTGTAGACCTCTTTGAATTCCTCCTGTTTTTTTTTCTTTGTTATTTCTGCAACAAAAGATACGAAGAGTAAAGAGGAAAAGATTACTGGGCCGAAGATTGCATCTGCTTCAACGAAATTGCTGACGTTGTCCGGTCTTCCAGATAAAACTGCAACAGGTTGACGCAAAAGATCGAATATTTAACAGAAAATCGATAGCGAAAAATGTGAAACAAATGGGGAAACCGGGGATTAATCGAGGGGTTTTCTAATGTATTGAAATTACGAGCTCCCTGACCTGCGAAGACGCTCCGTGTGAGTTCGTGCTGTTTCTCCGGGGGCTGGGCTTCGACAGAAGAGCAAAAGCAGCCAGAGTCAAGAGAGGATTCGTATTCGGATCCGAATGCAAATTACGAGGGCGAATAAGAGAGACAGAGGAGATATTGGGTACCTGGAACTCGTAAAACTTGAGGAGGCGGGGCTTGCCCTGGGTGTTCATCACGATCACCGCGCGAATCATGGCTGTAGCCGGCCGCCGGAGAGAGGCACTCAGAAGGGTTCCGAGAGAGCGGTGGCCAAAGGGCGGGTTGGAACTTGCAACGCTGACGTTGTTTTCGTTTTCTGTTTCTGGTTTTGGAGACGAAACGGCGGTGGAGATGTTTTTGGCAACCGTGGGGACGTTTTCGGGTCGAATTCATCGTCTCGTGGCAATATATCTCCGATATTTATTTCTCTTTTACCTATTGGACGAGCCAATAGCTGACGTGGAATGCGGGATCCACGATCCCTCTTTCCACCGCCTCAGCCCGATTGTTGATTTGGCTCATTGCGGCGAGTCCACGATTCGTTCGACCCATATGTCTCACCCACTCGGTTAGGGTTTAAGAGCTTTTCTTTGTTCCCCCACATCCGTCAGGAGGAAGACCGTCAAGATCGATCCGTGATGGCCTCGCTCTGTAGGTCCGCCGCCATGGCCGCCGGGAGGTCCGTCGCGGTCCGCTCCAAATCCATACTCCCGAAGCCTGCGCCGTCCCGAAGGGCCGCCCCTTTCGTTCGGAGGTGAAGGCTACTGCAACTCCAAATTCTTGCCCTCGAACTCTTCTACTTGTTATTTTTTCTTATTTTTAGTTTCGATTCGTACTCTCGACTAATTTCGGCACGACCTATGTTAGGTCGATCGCACCGGCATTGGGGAGCGTCGATTCGCTGATGCCGCTTCACAGCGCCATCGCCGCCGCTCGCCTCAGATCTTTCATTGCGGTCGATTCCTCATGTTGGAGTTGGCTCTCCCAAGGTAACATTCACGAAAGACTTTGTCTTTGATTGGTCATCAAATAACTGGGGAAATCTTTGATTTTGTCATGCATTGGGGATTTGCATTTGCCACCAGTATTTCTTGCAAGAAGAATGTAAATCTGAAAAGGTTTAGGTTTCACGGAGTGTTATAGCATCCAAAGAATACTCGTTGGATTGATTTTTATAGCAAAATTGGAACTTTGTCTTGTGGTAATTCTGATGATAGGTTTAAACAAGCGCATCTGATCATGGCTATGGAGAGTGCAACGCAGAAGGGAAGAAACATTTTTCATGTGAGGAATTTTAAACCATGACTTCTATGAAATTGGCCACTATATCCATTTTATTCTTCGACATCTTATTCAAAATAGTAGGTGTCAAGTGTAAATTAAAGGTCAATTTCATCGCTCTCCTTAAAACTATTTTTAACAGCATGCAGAAACTTAGTGATCGTTGCTCTGTTTTCGGATATTCTAATAGTGCTTTATATTCTGGCAAATTTTATCCTAATGTAGTTCTCTATTTTTCGTATAGGACGTGCTTTACCTTTGTGACCGAGGTGTGCTGGTTTTATGCTATGTGGGATCTTAGATTCTTACTACTTCTCGTTTAATTTGAAGACCGTAATTTGTCTTTTACAAGTCTTGAACTGCAGCAAGTGATTGGGCATACCTTACTTTTTAGCCTAAGCGCCCCTTTTATTTTTGAAATTTATTGAGATAGCATTTCTTGTTTATTAGCCTTTTAACATAAGCTGTTCTTTCTAGAGTACATCATATTACTCGCCGTGTACCCTTTAGATGAAAATTTGATGTTACAAGTACTGCAGCTATATTATTGGAATGTGTTCCCTGTTTGGACGATGGTGTTTTGATCTTATGCTCTTTGATGTCCACCACCATGATCATGCTTTGGATGACACCATAACATTACTTCTACTGTAGGACCAACTGAACGAGTTCATTAGAAGTGTTCTATTTTTGTGATGCATTTATGCTTAATTGATTTATGTACTTGCCTAACTGCAACTATGACAATAATTATTATTCTTGTATGTAGATCATTTTACTTTGTGCTATACTACGATGGCAATCAAAATTCTTCATATTCTATTGGAATTGGCCTTTTGCAGTAGTCATTGGCATGCTATTTCAATCTAGAAGTGGAACGTCTCACTTTCCAAGCCTTTGGTAACCAAATAGTTAAATTACCAACATTATGCTAAATAATTGAAGAATACCTGATGAGGAAATAGAGATAAAACAACCGTATAAGAACAGGATATCATCAGCTGACCCATAAGAATCAGATGTCAGATTTGATCTGTTTAAATATCAGAGTTCCTAAACTTAGCTACCTGTATTGAATTATTTAACCCTAGCTACTGTTCCTTCTCCACTTTCTTTTTCCAGAACTTTACCAATTATGATCTTCATCTCTTTCGTGCGTCGAATAACATAAGTCTCTATTCTACCTTGCTTAGCAAATATGTTGCTTTCCATCTTTGGTAGCTATGTTTTGTAAAAAGAAATCAATTATGGTCTGTAAATCTTCTTGCTGCTTTCTTAGTTTTTCTTCATTGGAATTTTGATCTGCTTTATATCTTCCAAAGTTCTGACCTTCCGTACATTTTCTTTTCACCAAGCCTGCAATAGCTGCATCCTGAATCTCTTATCTAAAACCTTTAGGTTCCTTAGAATCTCTTTTGGTTTAATTTTTATCCCTTTATTTGTCATTATAATGCCCATACTGTTATTGCCTTCTTTTGATCTAGTCTATAGTGTTTTCCAATCTGTTCTTGATCACCTTGGAACTCCTCTTGATTTCTTGGAGTTTTTGTTTTCTCTTCATTATTTAAGATACATCGTGTCCATCCTTGCTCTTCATCTATCCCTCCTACTTTGGAAAAACTCTGGCAATGGCTCAGGCCAATTTTGATATTGTCGAATTGAGTCCTAGTAACTGGTAACGCTTTGAGCTACAACGAAATCTAGAATACCACACTTGTTTTTTGTTTTTGTTGCCTGCATTCCCCGTGTTTCCAACTTGTCTATGGAAGTTTCTTGCATGGAAAGTTTTTGACTGTTTCATATGATGTATTCCATTGGTTTGTTCACATAATTCGGAGCATGCATATAGTTTGGCATAAAACCTTGATTCTTTCAGTAATGTTTTTTAACCTCTCCAACATTTTCTGTCAATAATTAAATATCAACAAGGGAAGGGATGTCCAAAGAAATGTCAACTTGGTTCATATACTTTTTCCTTTGCATCAAACATATAACCAATACTTTTTATTTATTTATTTATGTAGGTTTTAATGTACCCATTTTGTTTCTCATAAACGGAATGTCTTTTCTGTCCGATCAGGCTGAAAGTTTGTAGCCTTACTCTCGTGCGTATATTTTTGCTGCAATCGAATATGTTCAGATCCAGACATCGTTGAAGTTGTTCTGTATACAAGTGATGATACAGCCCGTGTATTGGTGTCGTAGTTCTTTTAGCGTAGTCAAATTCCAGATGATCATATCGCTTATCTTGTTGTTTTGACTTGCTCCTTTTTCGAGTTGCTGTTCTCGTTCATGCTTACCTATCATAAATTGGAATGGATCAGTTAGTTTGAAGCATGGAATTGTGTTTTAAAGTAAAGGTCTCTCTCTCTCTCACACACACACCAAATGTGCGACTTCAGATGCTCCGGCAGCATGATCCTCTCCCCAAATCGCCGCGGTCTTGGCATCATCCTTTGCCATCAGTCTCGCGAACTCCTCGTGATCATAATGCACATTGCTCTCTCCTCCAAAATCCTCGGGCAGCATCTGGAAATCGAAGCTTTTGCGCAGCACTTCCATGCTCTCTTCCTTGTTCGGGTACACAAATTTCACCTTCTCGCAGGTCTTCGGGTCCAGGAAATACTTAACTATCTGCGCACAAAAACCAGAAAACGCTACAGACCGATACACCATCAGACATAATCGATTAAGGGCTACGGACCTTCCAAAATGATTCAAAAATTCTTGGGGGATTATATAGGAATGCAGCCGCAAGCCTCTCGGGATAGTGAGACTGCAAAACGTTTGCCGTCTCTCGAGCAGTCTTAATCGGCACCGAGTTCCTCAATGACCATCCCGTGAAGTCTATCAGCCAAACCATCTGCTCTTGTCCTTGGGGCAGATTGATGATGGCATTCTCCAGGAGATACACCAGATGCCTGAGTTGGCTGTCGTGTGAGCATGTGTTCTGCAACAGATGCATGTAGCTTGTATCTCTATTCTCAGGATTTTTTTTTTTCGTTTCCTTGTAGGATAGGAAAATGAAAACATCAATGGCAAACCTGTCTCCCTGGTCTCAGCACAAGAACACTTTTTCCCTCACGATCATGAAAATCCGCTCTGTAGACCTTGCCGGTTTCACCTTCGGTAGCAACCTCAGGCTGAAACGATCGGGAAAACAGTGTAAATATATCGACTGCGGTGTCAAATCAAACATCTGAATCGAGCTCACCCAACGAATTTCCTCTGGCTTGTAAGTCGCTCGCCACTCGAGTGTCTCCTCTAACATTTTCTTCGACTTGTCAACGTTCCAGTTCCAAGCTTCCAAGTATCTCCTCAGACATGCATCGGTGCAGAACATGAAGCTACGTCCGGATAAGGGTCCGATAGCAGCTCTCAGCTCTTCCACCTGTTTGTTGCACAATATCCACAATTTATCATGCAAGATATATCATATAATCTCACAAATTAGCATGATCAAGCTGAAAAGAGTTTAAAATTAAACACGAATGATGATGTTTTCTTGTTCTTTGTCCTGCAATGCCCGTATATTGTATATGTAGAAAGATTACATCAGTCGGATAGAAACTTTCGTGATAAACAGGTGTGGCACATGGCAATCGGATGAACCATTGCGAGTATGACCATCAAGAAAAACATAGTTTTTTGAAAGCTTATGCAGTATGGTAGACGAGCATATTCAATCCAAAACAACCTACATTCAGAGACTCCACCGCGAAGCTGACTCATTTAATCGAAAAAAATATATGTATTCTTGAGATTGTACTTCATGAGCCTGATATAGAACTTCCCATAGTGTAATACAGAACAATGTGTTCAGTCTAATTACCTTCTCTTGGTGTGGTAGAGCAGCATGATCCTGGTCATCATGAGAGTTATGCTTCCTTCCGAACATGTTTGCGTCCGCCTTCCCTGTTGATGAGACATGCTTTTAGCAGGATAGCGAAACAGAAATTGCACATTCATGCTACTAAGGTACTCATCAAACCTCTTAATTGTAAATAAATAATGCATTTTTACCAATGGTTATGATCTAATTACACACAACAATTTGTATCACAATAAGGGTGGAAACATAGCCTCAGAATATGTTCAAATGTGTCGATGGTTTACATCTAAGTCACATAGCAAGTCCAGTTTCTGAGACAATCTAAATTGTATCACAACAAAGATAGAAACCACAGCTTCGGAATAGGTTCAAATGCATCATAGAGGTGCAAAAAATAGAGAGTTAAGATAGTTGAAAACTCATGCTACGATACAGACGCAAAAAAGAGAGCTAAACTCAAAAGCAATGGTTTGTGGCACCTAACGATTCAACCTGTGACATGTCTATCACATTGGCTAACTGATACTATAAATAAGATCTTCTCAAGCAGAAAGCTGGGTGGGAGAGGATGAGAACAGATATTTCTTTCTCTATTGCTCTCACTGTAAAATAGAAAAAGAGTTTCCACCATTCCAGTGCAAGTGCAATCCGGTAGAGGATGAGAACAAAACTGGCAACTCCTTGGTTTTAAAAAAATAGTATGCCAAACTCCTGATTTGCGGTAAGGCGATTATGTATGTCAAATAATTGAATGAATGCAATAGTATATCAAATAGTATGTCAATCGGGTATTCAATTATGTATCCATGACGTAATCCATATTATTTTAACAAATAGTATGTCAAATAGTATATCGATCGAGTATATTCATTCATTGATTCATGCATGTATTCAAAAATATCATAAGAGATCATGCTTAGTATATGACATGCTAGATTATGTTCATTGGTGACTTTGCATTATGATGGATCCATAGTTCCTTTCACAGAGTGCACTTCCAATGTAAACCACTGGCATATACCACAAAGTAACAATCACATTAATATCATCGAGTTAATCCCAAGATAATAGAAAATCACTAATCAATTTCAAATCACTTCTTCAAATAAAGTTTCTAAGTTCATCAATTCATATGAACATAAGTTATCAATCTCTTAGCAGCCCTCAATCGACCTGAACCATAATTGAAATAGTCCAATTAACTTGAACCAAATTAAATTCTATCTGAGCCCAACCTCTAATCCTTATTGAAATCGTCTATAATCATTCTAGAGTTGTCTAATTTGGATCTAATTGGTTTTAATGTGGTCAAATGAGTTTGAACTAATCAAATCGGTCCAAAATCACCTTGAATCATCTTAACCAAACTGATATAGTTTAATCAACTAATGAGCTTAAATCAATAAGAGAGGAGGGAATTGAGCTAGGCTACATAGTACTAATCCAAATCACCTTGAATCATCTTAACCAAACTGATATAGGCTACATAGTACTAATCCAAATTGGACCGACGCCACATATGCCTATCCCAAGTATTAGACTAGGTTGACGTGTCATGGGTTGAGTCGTACTTGGTCTTCGAGCTTGGTCGTTGAACTAGATTGCACCGACTCGTGAGCAAGATCATGCTTGATCACATGAGCTAGATCAAATCTGATCATATGAGTTGGGTTGTGCCTAACCACATGGGCTGGGCCGTGTTTGGTCATATGAGTTAGATTATACATGATCACATGGATTGGTCTAATCGATCAACTTGACTCAAGTCAGACTTGAGTTTGATCCCTCTTATTAAATTAGATTTCAATTTTTTAAAAAATATTTTAAAATATTATAAGATAATAATTAATCTTGAATAAATTACCATTAGAATTTTTAATAATACAATATGAATTTATTAAAATAGACTTCTAAATCCATTTTTATAACTTAAATAATCTAATAAATTCATGATCCTATAGTTAAAACTAATTAAATCATAAATATTCATACATTAATTCTTGAAACAAACATATATTTATTTAAAAGAATTAGAGCTATTATTTCAATCCAAAAATAAGAATTTTAATAGTTAAATCACATCTTAAAAGTATAATTCACTAACTTAAGATTTTTGCTTGAAATATAAGTCATGCACTATCATCATGAACTTAAATAATAATTCTAACATAAAAATTCAACGATCATTATTTACCAATCATAAAAATTTTAAAATTAAAATATTATTATACATCGTAAAATTATAATAATTTTAATATCAAATATTTAAAAATATAAATAAAAAAATATAAAAAAAGGAGTTGAGGATCCTACCTCTCATCAATCCTCCTGTTGCTAGCTTTGACAAGCAACGGGGGAGAGAGAGCCCCTTTATATAAAAAAAATATATATCGTTCTCGAAAGATAATTAATGATTTAATTTTATTTTCACACATAAAAATAGAAATACAATATTTATTTTTTTATAATTCACACAAAAATATAATTCAAAATATTTATTTCTTAAAATTCACATCATTATTAGGAAATAAATTAATTAAATTTAAATTATTAAATTATTTAATTGATCACCTAATTTCCTAACAAATCAATTTAGTTCATTTCCATAATCATACTACATAAATATTCAAATAAAGTAACATATTATTTATGGTAATTTGATTTATATTGAGGCAAGAAAGAAAAATCCCGGATAATTATAGTTAATTAGTCTGGATAATTTTGATTGGCTTAAGAATTTATATTTTTATCTAGATTTTTCACCCAGGAACAAAACACACAAAGCAAGCTAAAACACAACCAACAAACAATATTTGAGATGTGGTGTCAGGATGGAGCATTTGGTATTATAATGATAATTTGAGCACGACACCTTTGAACGGGCTATAGGCATGCAGACATTAGGCAAACTGCTATGGGTGATTGGACAGTCCACTAATCTCAAGAAAAGTTCCAAACGAGTCCAAAAGGTTTCATGGTGTGGTGGAAGAAATCGTGCCCTGTTGATCTTGATAAGAAGAAGGGATAGTCCTGTTAATCTTCTATATTTCTCTCGAGAAGAACACTTTACAATTTCAGAAACTCTATATTTTTTAATGACCCAACATATGAGGTTTATATAGTCCCCAAATATACATTACAATAATTGTATTCAAGATGAATCATTCTCTTTCAAGAACCAATAACCAATTTGAATTATCCTTCAATAGAATTTTAATTTATTTTTTCTTCTTGATGTAATGAATCTCCTTCTCGATGCAATGAACATTTCTTTGATGAAATGAATCTCTTTATAAGAGTTGAACAAGTTTAATTCCAACATTCTCCCCCCTTAAACATGTTCCATCTAACATGCCAAGTTTCTTTCGAAGTTGTTGAATATATACCTCTTCTTCAAGAACTCTATTAAGAAATACTGATTTGACATCAATTTGTAAAATTTTTCATTTTATTTGAGCAGCTAGAGAGATGAGTAATCTTATTGTCTCTCGTCGAGCAACTGGTGTAATTACTTCTTCATAGTCGATCTCATATTGTTGTTTGTATCCCTTTGCAACCAATCGGGTTTTGTATTTCTCCACCTCTCCTTTTGCATTTCTTTTGTTTTGAAGATCCACTTAACACCGATAGCTTGGTGGTCTTCTGGAAGTGTAGTAAGCTCCCATGTATTATTTTTGTTAATGGCATGAATCTCTTCGTTCATAGCTTGTCATCATTTTTCATCTCTATAAGCTTCTTCGAAAGTTAATGTATCATATCCTGCAAAAAGATAAAATAAAGAAAGTTCATTATTGTTAGTATCAATCCTTCGAGTCACATCATATAGCTCCTGAATCGGTCTTGTCCTTCTTATAATTGGACTTCTTGAATCATGTGACCTGGTTGATCTAGGTGATGATTCCGGCAAAACCACTTTGGTGATTGCTTGTATTATATTATCTTCTTCTGAAGCTATAGCTTTCTTATGCTGCTCACCACTTTTCCAGTTCCAAATCTGTTGTTCATCAAACTCAACATCTCTTGACATCACAACTTTATTTGTGACAAGATTGTAGAGTTTGTAACCACTGGAATTCTCTCGATAACCTAACAAAATGTATTTCTGACTTTTATCTTCCAATTTTGTTCTCTTTTCTTCTTGTGTCTTGGCAAATGCAACACTTCCAAAAATTCTCAAATGGTCAACCCTTGGTTTTTGGAAGCTTTATGCTTCTTCTGGTGTAACATTACCAATTCGCTTTGTCGGAAACCTGTTAAGCAAATAAACTGCACAAGCAACAACATCTCCCCAAAATTCTTTAGGAATTTTTCTTTCCTTTAACATGCATCGGACCATATTAAGGATAGTCATATTTTTTCTTTCTGAGACATCATTTTGTTAAGGTGTGTATGGCATGATGAATTGATGTAGAATTTCATTATTTCTACAAAAAAATTTCAAATTCATTTGATATATATTCACCACCCCTATCTATTCTTAAACATTTAATCTTACAACAAAAATAATACATTGTAGCTTACTACACTTGCAGAAGACCACCAAGCTATTGGTATTAAGTGGATCTTCAAAACAAAAAAATGTAAAAAGAGAGGTGGAGAAATACAAGACCCGATTGATTGCAAAGGGATACAAACAACAATATGAGATTGACTATGAAGAAGTATTTGTACCAGTTGCTCGACTAGAGACAATAAGATTATTTATCTCTCTAGCAGCTCAAATAAAATAAAAATTTTATAAATTGATGTCAAATCAGTATTTCCTAATGGAGTTCTTGAAGAAAAGGTATATATTCAACAATTTCGAAAGAAACTTGACATATTAGATGGAACAAGTTTAAGGGGAAAGAATGTTGGAATTAAACTTGTTCAAGTGTCATAAAGAGATTCATTTCATCAAAAAAAGATTCATTGTATCGAGAAGGAGATTCATTACATCAAGAAGAAAAAATAGATTAAAATTTTATGGAAGGATAAGTCAAATTGGTTATTGGTTCTCGAAAGAGAATGATTCATCTTGAATACAATTATTGTAATGTATCTTTGGGGACTATATAAACCCCTTGGGTCATGAAAAATATAGAGTTTCTGAAATTGTAAAGAATTCTTCTTAAGAGAAATATGGAGGAAGATTAAAGCTTGTCCTACTCTTTCTCTGTTTGATAACTCTATCAAGATCAACATCTTCCATGCCACGAGCAGACCTAGCTAGCATTTCGCGCATTTCACTTGCTTCGAACCATATACCTAGCTAGCATTTCGCGCATTTCACATGCTTCGAACCATATGATTCGATATGCTAGCAGATCATCCATCGTCTCATAAGCCTCCAAAAAGTCAACCATATGTTGGACGAGTCAATCAGAGGTCCACCGATCAGAAGGATTCCACAGAAGGGGCTGACCGGAGGCACTCTCGCTCTCATCTTGAAAGACAAACTCATTGGAATCAGATGGGTCGACAAAGACATTTTGAATCCTATGGTCGAGGATGGGTAAACTGTAAAAAAAAAAAAAGGTTCAAATCAAGAATTCCTTTTAGGAAGAGATTGATGACCGATTTATGAGCATCGAAAGTGGTAAGGGAAAACACAGAGAATTAATCACCCAGAAATCCCCAGATGGAAGCAGATGAGCAACGGTTCTGAGTTTCCCTCTTTTGTTCTTTCTTCTTTGGTCCAAATCAAATTAAATCACTCCGTCTGATTCCCGATACGGTATAATCTCGATCGAAGATGAATACCAAAAACGTCTTTTTTTTTTTCTTTTTAACTAGAAATCATACGAGTGCAAACAAAATCAAGAACCCAGATTTGTCCCCAAAGTGCAGCCCGCAGTAAAACCAAGATTACGAACGGCGAGCGAGATCAACACGGCGGAGCAATCAATAAAGAACCACCATTTCAGATGAACCCCAAAGAAGAGAGATTTGTCCGACTGACTCCAGCTTTACCCAGTAACAACCATACGAGGCATAAAAATAAACAGAAGAGATCCATACCTCCGAGCGAGCGAGCGAGCGAGCGAGAGAGAGAGAGAGAGAGCCTTCTGCGGGACGGTCACAAGTGTGTTCTTTGGCCTCCGGGGAGAAGGTTGGCAGGTGGACTAGACCGCACTTGCTATCTTCTCCCCTTCCAAGCTTGGTACGCGCGGAGAACCAGAGGGGCGGACAAGTACGAAAAGAAAGAAAGAAAGAGAGAGAGAGAGAGAGAAGATGCCCCCTTGGGCCTCTTTTGCAACTTGGTTGGTCACACTGATCTCGTCCGTAGCGGAGTTCCAGACGAAACGCATGCTCTCTCCGAGTGCATCATCCTTTTGACACACACACACACACACACACACACGGACATGGGAACACCGATCTTTTTCTTCGCTCGAGCACCTAAAGCAACCGACACAATCCGAAGCTTTATTCTCCATTCGCTGCGTGAGAGAGGGAGAGGCGCATTAATGGATGAACAACTAAACCCTCTAAAAGACGTCTACACCGCGCGCAGAAACATCACCATTTGGACTTCTCATATAAGTGTCCGACGCTATGATAAACTTTCTATGTGCTCTTCCGCTGGGAAAGACTATGGCAATCGAACCAAAATCTTGGGCTGAATGTCATATTTGATCGACACTTCAGTTCTAATTAATCCAAACAGAAAAGAAAAAAACTCTGATCTTGGATCAGAGATCATCTTCTTTCTTTTTCCTCCTTCTTTCGAATCATGTGCACATTTCTTGGAGGGTTCCGACCCGACGGGGAAGATAGAGATACCTACTACGCAAGCAAAGATGAATCCAATTAACTATATACGTGCCCGGAGCGAAGGGGATGGGACGTGCGAAAAGGTTCACCGGACTCGGTCGTCGATGCCAGTGTCGCGCTCCTACCCTATCGCGTGTATCTCGTGTCAGGTCCTTTCAACGACGGTATCAGATCCATGACCTGCCCTGCATGCCAACCCACTCACATGAGGAGCAAGCCTGACCTGCAATGCGAACCCTTTGATCTCATTAATATTTTATCAAAGCCTGACGTGCGAACCCTTCCGGAGATTGTGTTTTAGTGGTCGATCCCGTTTTTGATGCCACAAACAAAAATCAACAAGAAGCTGGTCCGAAGAAACATAGAGATGCTCATAACTAAAGGATACATTGTAGATTTCCGGTGGAGCAAGTCTTTGGCTTATCACAGCAGAACCATTAAGATACGCATGCTTCCGATTACCAGCGCAGCAATTGGAAACGTTATCGATTCACAAATGCTATGATCCGCATCTGTCTCCATAATGATCTTAAGCCACTTGGTTACCACCGAAGCGCCTAACCTTAATGGGCAAGCCCTTGGGGAAGCCGAGGAAAGGAAAGGAGACGGGGAAGTCACGCTCGGCCAGCTCCCAGTCGTACTTGAGGACAAGGTGGTGGAGGAAGACGGCCATCTCTAGCTTTGCAAGCTCTGCTCCAGGGCAGAGTCGCGGGCCGCCGCTGAACGACATCACGTTGCTGTTCTTCGTCACGGTCGCAAGGATAGCCTGCATGCGAGACAAATACACAAGCCCTGAACGCTGGTTGGAAATCAAGCTACCTGGTGCATTGCCACGACAAACTATGTTCCTGCTGTGTTTGCATACGCATGTATATCTATCGAATTGCTGACCTTCCATCTCCATGGGTTGTAACACTGTGGTTCATCGTAGATCGACGGATCCAGATGTGCTGCTGAGATTATAGGAACCACTTCCCACCCACATGGAATATCGTAACCTGCATCGTTGCCAAGTGAAAAGTGACATCTTTGATGAGCTTCTCTTGCGCAACTTGGTCTCATTTACTGTGATAACAATAACAGTAATTATTTGCATCTTACCTTTGTACTGGACATCTTTGATGGCTTTCCGGTGCAGGAAGTGGACGATGTTGCCTAGCCTTAGCGTCTCATTGATGACCTGAGGGAGACGTGTTTTTCCCTTTGTTACTTTGTTACCGGCTCGGAGTAGTGGCACAAAAGAGAACTTACAGCATGCGTGAACTCCATCTTCTTGTAGTCATCCCAGGTCAGTGCGGTCTCCCCTCGTTCCTTCTTCAGCCTCGCGATCTCAGCGTGCTCCTCCTGAGAAGCTTGTCGTTGTTACTGGAGCAGAAAACAGATGAAACATATACGCTATTATAGAAGAAGAGTCTCGCTGGGCTCACCCGCAGTTGTCGAACCGCTTTAGGACAGGCCTGCAGGAAATAAATGGCAAGAGAGATGGCACCGGAGGATGTTTCGTGGCCGGCGAAGAGCATGCTGAGTATCAGGTCAAGGATCTGTTCTCTGGTGAGAGTTGGATGCGTCGACACCGATGCCAGGAGGTCATCCTCTTCAAGCCCCTCACATTTCTCGCGGATCTTAGTGATCCTTTCGTCCAGCTTCTGCCCCATGATCGTGAGGATGATGGCCCTTGACTATCGAGAAGAAAAGAGAGGGTCAAACCACGATTCAGAAACCACACACAAGCACAGGCCGTGCATCGATGGATGCTGAGGACATCGAGGGACAAAATGTACAGCTCGCTTGGGTTTTACATTTAGAAAGAAGAAATGTGCATGTAATATGAAAAGCCTCTGTTAAATGAGATGAAATTTCTCTTGCTTCGGACAAGGCCACCTTTTGTTTTTGAAAGAAAGAAACCAGTCATTGATATCAAAAGAACCTAACAAGGGAGAGTGGGATGAGCTGCGGGAAGAGAACGGTAGAACGGTTCTACCAACAGAAGCTAACACATGAGCTTTCCGGTTTTCACTCCTACACGAATGCAAAATGGGGACCTACAGATGGCCAAAGCATAGTTTGAGAGGCATACAGCTAATGACTCGACCACCAAAGAGAGGCATGCTTTACCAAAGATGCCTCCTTCAGGCATTTGCTTGCTCGACCTCCCTTTACTTTCCTACTATAAAAACCTCCCGCGACTACTCCATGTATAGGGACGGCCGTACTGTCTGGTTCTATAAACACCAAGACGAGAGAGGCAACCTTGGAAGGCCAGTAGAAAATGTACATAGAGGCGAAACGAAGAAGTAAAATGTAAGCAGACCTGCAAGGCTTTTCTGTAGGCGGTGCCCGGTAAGTTGAGAGGGATGGAAGCCATTCCCTTCATGAAGGTGTGATACTCTCTCCTCAGCTGCTCCGTCTCCGGCATGCTCTCGTCCATGCTCATCAGATGCTTCACCATCAGGCCGAAGGCAAACTGCAGGCGCCGCCCCCGCATCGGTGTCAAATGCAGCCAGAACCAAAACGAAAACCCGCTCGACTCTGTCTAAACAAATTAAATCTGGATCCAAACCTTCTTCGCCGCCTCTTGGGCGGAGAAGGTGGCGTTCTCCGTCCACGAGTCGAGAATCTTCACGGCCTGACGCTCGATGTCTCCCAGGAAGTATGTCCGGAGCTTCACGTTGCTCATGAAGTTGACGGCGATGGATCTCAACTCCCGGTGGATGTCCCCCACCAGCGCCAGCATCGACCACCTTCCCATGATCTCGGCAATGCTGGTGGGGCAGCTGTTCTCGAACATCTTCCCCTCGCTTTGCAGGATGAGCCGATTGAAGTCCGGGTCGGTCGACACGATCGTCGGCTTCCCCAGCAAGTTCATCCTAAAGATCTTCCCGTACCTGCAACCAAGAATACCAAAGTGGCAATCCATAAATAACCGAGTATGGTGGCCATGGCTTGTATCGAATCTGTAGAATCACGTAACAAACTTGTCCATGCTTCGGTCCACGAAGTCTCCCAAGGAGGCGGAGGAGTGAGGCTGCATGAAAGCAATGGTCTGGCCGATGAGAGGCAGACCCATCTTGCCCGGTGGCAGTTTGTACGCCTTGCCGTCTCCATTCCCGTTGCTCCTAAAGGCGAAGAAGATTATGACGGCTATTACGGCCGTGGAGATCAGGAGGAGGAGCTCGAGTGCCATTCTCTCTTCCCTCTTCTCTCTCAATCTCTCTCCCTTCTCCCCTCCTCTATGCCGCAGACGGCCGCCTCGGTCGATGCAGGATATAACCTCCTCTGTTTTTTTTATACCACGTAAAAGGTGATGAGAACACATTTCCACTCGGACCAACTTTATTTATTTAATTTTTTTTTTTTTACCGCGTGAACAACGCGCGGATTATCCTATTTCATGTTACGCCTTCTATAGTGTGCAGATGATCATATTCGCTTGTTTTTACTCTTAATACTAAATAATAATAATAATAATAATAATAATTATTATTATTATTATTACTTGCCCAAAAAGAGAACAAGTAGTCAGTTACCAAAAACGAACCCAATTAATTAATGTAGTCGGACATTTTTGCGATCTAAAATATTCAGGTTGGAGGTCGAAGCTGATTAAAACATTTTCTTTTTCCGACGCTTAGGAGTGACCTGATAAAAATCGGTGGCTCACACGTGACAAATACAAAGTTGTCGCCAGGACAAACGAAATTTTCTCAACTCTGTTTTTAGCTCCGTGAATTATATACCGTAAACAAAATTATGAACGATCGATCGGACGGGATTTGGCGAGCCCTTCAGAAGGATAATTTAGGCGCAATGATGCAACGACGGATTACCATTTGGACATACATGCTTATGCCAATTAACAACACATAATTGCAACACAAACCGTATCCATCGAAGAAAGAGCATGAGTTTAGCGTCGGCACCATCCGGGGGGAGTAGAACAGATCACGAAAGAGTATGCATGCTCGGATCTCAATGCTGGTCATTCGTTCTGGGCCGCAGCGTGTTGGCCCATATGGAGATGCCGATGGCCACTCCAGTCGAACAAAACCCAATATACTGGCGAGAAATCACATCGATTCAAGGGTAAGCGAAGGACGTGGTGTTGAATCTCCAACGAAAATGTCGACCCATCTCATGTTTTCTATCTAATAAATATAAATTTACTAATAGTTTTGATCGTTCATAGGCGAGCGAGTAACCTCACGAGGAACGAGAGCAAAGGTCAGATTGGTTTACGCGCGTACACATGAAGTAAACAGGAAGGATCCATTCTCGTACCCTTTGTGTTTGTGTTTGCACCGCAGCAGCCCAGCCACATGGATGGTGGCCTGCTTGTCGGCCCATATTTAAGAATTGACATGGCAATCAATGAGCTGCCTTGCCGAAACCATGTGATCCATCCCTCGCTTTTTTATTTTCGGCAGCATCCGGTCGTTGCAGTGTGTGCGCGGGTGCGCGGAAACCGATGTTGCAGGCTTGCACATGGAAACTTACGTCCGTGCGCATGAGGTGGGTCCGTGCCTGCTGCGTGCCCCAGCGGTGGCCCAGCTCGTCACATGGTGTTCCATGTGTCCTCCAAGTAGGATTTGATACAAGGTATCTCGTCCTACTTCCGTGTTGGGGAGGCGGAACCGTGCGAAACGCGAAGCACGTCTGGGAGTCACGTGTGACCCGATTAGCGAGCCATCGCATCGTGAACCGAGAACGTGGCAGCAGATGATGTGCGTGCTCCAAGACAAGAAGATTCTGTCTTCCGTCGGTGCATTTTATTTAATCGGTAACCTTTTTATTACTGTCATTATTTGCTTTGGATCTGCGCATTCGCGGTAGATAATACGCACGACTATGCAACAGGGAGTAGTCACAAATGTGTCGGACCCATAGACTTAGCTCCGGAATATGCTATCTTAATGTGATGGCCCCGATGTGTTCGTCGACGGCGAGCAGCTATCAGGTACAACCGGCCACGTGGACTGGAATCCTTCTGTCTCGATGGGAGTGGCCGGTGGTTGGTAGGGGGAGGGGGAAGGTTGTAATTAAGTGTTTTTTGTCGGTTGCCATCACCAAATCTCGACCGTGCAGGAAGCGCGGGTAGGTAGGATGAACGTCCACGATCGTCCACGTTTTATGTACCAAGACTATTCATTCATCGAATTCCAAACCGGGTGGCACGGTTTCCAAAGCCTACTCGACCTACTTCCGACTCGTGGGTGGATGGATGGATGGACCGCATGCACATACATATACACACAATGATATAACCTTTATGGGATCATCGATGATGAACACATGGTATGTCTTGGTTGACCTTGTATTTGCTTAATTATCATGTATGTAGTTACATCTTATTGCCTCCTATTATTGGACTGTTTCTACAGTGCCGAACGAATGACCTGAAATGAACTCAATTTCGAATGTGGGTGCCGATATATTTAACTCCATGCATCAGTCGACGCATGAAGATGGAGACAATGGAATCCTCTCGCATGGCCCGCTTGACGCTGAGAGAGGATTGCGACGCTGGCTGATACCCATGGATTTGTGCCGAGGAATGGAATCCTCGTGGTCTCTCGCCTTGGCCATCTTGCATCCCGACCATTCGTGGTACCTACCCCCCCCCCCTCTCTCTCTCTCTCTCGTGACCTCTCGTGTATTATCGAGACAGCCAGCGGACGGGTTCATCGATGTCCTTTAGCCCACCATCTTTCTGAATCCTGCTGACTGGTAGATGCACAAAACCAATGTGGTTTTAACTGCATTCACATCCTCCCATCTTTATTTCTGAGTCCTACTGCTTGTTTTTTCCTTCTAACTGGACGTCCGACCCTCTCTCTCTCTCTGTCTCTCGTGGCCTCTTGTGTATTATTGGGACAGCCAGCGGGCGGGTCCATCGACGTCCTTTAACCCACCATCTTTATGAGTCCTGATGATCTGTCGATGCACAAAGCCAATGTGGTTCTAACTGCACGTCCTACAATATTTTGGTTTTCGTGTGCTGGATATCCATCCCTTTTTATATCATCACCATGCAAAATCTCACGTCGACTAGGACTGGGTTATCATGTACTATAAGAAGGCAGGCTTGCACTTTCTTGAGTGCTTGCATTGTAATGTCGCATCACGCGATGCCTTGAGCCACCAGAACGTCACATCTATCATACATGCCCCTATTGCTGCTCTCTTTGTAATTTAATTTACATCAGACGCCCACATTATCACAGTGACCCAAAAAATAAAAATTAAAAGTTATGCCCTGCTTTAAAGGATTGCTCGACCGGGCCTCATTTCGTTTTGGGCTCTGAACACAACACTGGGCCTCTAAAGATTGCCCTGCTCAGATTCTGCTACACACTGCCCTTTGGACTAATCTAACCCGTGCATAACGTCAAGCATCTAAGATTAAGATCCCGAGTAACTAAAGAAAGGGCTTCGCTTCATCGGATCACGTTTCCATGCGACCAGAAGCCTTCGGTGCAAAGCCATATCCACTGAAAGTTAACGAGTGATTTCCACTGGACGGCAATTGGGCATTGAGCTTCGCATCTTATGTTGTGACCACGTAGTCCTAATGACTGACTAAAAGAGTCATAATGTCCGAATATTTGTACCGTCCTCTCGATTAGCAAGCACGCCCACATAACAGGGAAGAGTCGACATAATCTGCTATCTCACCCAAAAATCAGTGGAAGCCGTCGTCTCTCCGATCTACTCTGTGGTTCGGTCGCCGGAAAAGATTGCTCGATTAACTCCTCAGAGAATGCTTTTAATATTGATACGCCTGTGACGTGTCATGAAACCATAACGTTTGGGTGTCACACTTGTGAAGGGGTTCAATTTAGTTAGTGACGTCAGACAGTAATAACAGATCGGTCGATTCGTGGTCTTCGATTTCTGTCTTTCTTGGTTGGTGCTGTAACACTTCATTTGGGTGTCACACGTCGATTGATCGAAGCTGATCTAATTTGCTCTATTTGCAAAGTATTTTGGGCATTATATGAAGAGAGAGAGGATAGTGTAACATTTCATTTAGTTTCACCGAAGAATGATTATGATTGACTTATATGGACCTGATAAATTTATTAAAATAATTTAATTTAAATATTTTGATTCGTAGTTTAGATCAGTTTAAATATTTTAATTTTAATATAATTTAAACACCTTGAATATAGTTTTACCTGGTTGTACGACGGGGATCAGTATGTGCCGACATGGACAGGATCATATGGGCTTAAAGTTGTCTCCGGCGTCCAAGAAACAGTCAGGCATCGGCGCACACACGCACCAGCAGTAGCCAAGAATGAAGCTCTTCTTCTTCGCCGTCCTCCTCCCTCTTCTCGCCTTTCCTGTGATGCTTTACTGCATCTATTGTCCCTCCAAGCAGTCCAAGGCGAAACCCAAGTCCGGGACCGGCACCTCCCTCTCGGAGCTTCTCAGGAACAGCCACCGGATCCTGGACTGGACCACGGAACTCCTGGCCGCCAGCCCCATCCACACCGTCACCACATTCATGGGCATCGTCACCGCCAATCCTTCCAACGTCGAGCACATCCTCAAGACCCGCTTCGACAATTATCCCAAGGGTCTCCGCTCCACCACCATACTCGCCGACTTCCTCGGCCGCGGCATCTTCAACTCCGACGGCGACCACTGGCGCATTCAACGGAAGACCGCCAGCCTCGAGTTCAACACCAAGACCATCCGCACCTTCATCCTCAGCAATGTCCGCCTCGCCGTCGCCGGCCGCCTCCTCCGTCGCCTCTCCCGCGCCGCCGCCGCTCGCGAGGTACTCGACCTCCAGGAGCTCCTTGACCGCCTCGCCTTCGACAACGTCTGCAAGGTAGCCTTCGACGTGGACCCCGCCAGCCTCATCGGTGACGAAGACGACGAAGTCCGCGAATTCGCCCACGCCTTCGAGGACGCCATCAACCTCGTGGTGGAGCGATACAGCCACCCGTTCCTCTTGTCCTGGAAGCTGAAGCGACTCCTCGGCATCGGCTCGGAGGGGATCCTCAAGAAGAACATCGCCGCCGTCCATCGGTTCGCCATGCGGGTGGTCCGATCGAGGAAGGAGGCCGGCGCGGCGGCTCTGGGCGACGACCTCCTGTCCCGGTTCATCGCGGAGGCGGACTACTCGGACGAGTTCCTCCGAGACATCGTCATCAGCTTCGTCTTGGCCGGGCGCGACACCACGTCGGCGACGCTGACCTGGTTCTTCTGGCTCATCTCGACCCGACCTGCGGTGCAGGAGCGGATCATGGGCGAGATCCGACGGGTCCGCTCGGGGCGCCCGAACCCAGAGGAGGGGGGAGCGTTCACGCTAGATGAACTGAGGGAGATGGACTATCTGCAGGCGGCGCTGTCGGAAACTCTGCGGCTGTACCCGCCGGTGCCCTTGCAGGTGCGGGAGTGCGCGGCGGACGACGAATGGCCAGACGGCACGCGGGTGGCCAAGGGGAGGACGGTGATGTACAGCTCGTACGCGATGGGGCGGATGGAGGCGATATGGGGAGCAGACTGGGGGGAGTTCAGGCCGGAGCGGTGGCTACACAAGGACGTGGAGTTCCGACCGATGAATCCGTTTCGGTTCCCGGTGTTCCACGCGGGGCCGAGGATGTGCTTGGGGAAGGACATGGCCTACATCCAGATGAAGGCGGTGGCGGCGAGCGTGATGGAGAAGTTCGAGATCGAGGTGGTAGATAAGGAGAGAGAGAGGCAGCTGGAATACATCATGATCTTGAGGTTGAAGGGGGGACTGCCGGTGCGGGTGAGGGAGAGGAACGGTTGAGTTGGGGTGTGGTTAGTTCGTGGAGGGATGAGCTCGACGAGTTTCTCCCACCATCTTTCTATCTTTTGTAATGCAATGTTCATATCAATCGGAGTTGAGCTATGCAGCTGCGAAAGACGTGGTTTTCTGGTGCAGCAGCCGCAGGGAAAGCGAGCCGGCGGCAGGGAACATCATCGATTGCAAACATGCAGTCGCGCTTTGTTACTGTTCTAAAATAATTAGAGAGAAACGCGATTATGCAATTACGGGACTACAAAAAAATCTTTAAAGTTCAGAACTACTGCAAAAAATGAATTGTCGTGGGATCAATCGTCTACTCAAATTCAAACAAAACTGCACTGCCTTTGCAGTTTCTGTGAATCGAAAGGGTGTTCCCTTGGTTATATGCTAAATGGTGCAACTAATCGCCACAAATTTCCAGCAAGTTAAAAGTTAAGATCAGTTCATATGAAAAAAAGAATCTCAACATTATTTTTCACGGGCATAAAAGTCTACATTTAATACTTAGTTAGGATAAAAAAGGTTATAGGGAAGCTTACTGCAGGAGGCAGGCTGATAGCGTCTGACATGGGCGCTGGCGTGGCGTGAAGAACCGCGCCTGAGTAGGCGTTAATGCGCCTCGGTCGGTGTTCCGGTTCGGTTGACCGAGTGCAGTCGTGCCGATCGAGGCGTGAGGCGTCGGCTGACGTCAGCCGAGTCTTATCGTAATTACTATCCTCATCATATTCCCCCCCCGGAAAGAAGCTATGCGTTGGACGTTGTAACCGGAGTCCGAGGCATGGCTTAAGCTTTCAGACGGGCTGGCCGCGAAGACGCAGTCTCGGGAAAAATGACGCCGAGGAGCACGACTCAGGCGGGCTGGCCGCGCAGGTGTGGCTCGGGAGGCATGGGGCCGAGGAGCATTACACAGGCGGGCTGGCCGCGCAGGTGTGTCTCGAGAACATAGAGTCGAGGAGCATTACACAGGCGGGCTGGCCGCGCAGGTGTGTCTCGGGAACATGGAGCCGAGGAGCACGATGCAGGCGGACTGGCTGCACAGGTGTGTCTCGGGAGGCATGGAGCCGAGGAGCATGAC